ACTCTGTTTTTGTAGTGAATTTAGATGAGCTCGTTTAATTTGTATTACATTTTAATATTTGTTGTTAAAGGTACCCAGTTGCAGCTTTGACCTCAGAGGCTTGTTACTGTGGCAACTGTCAACATGGTTTGGTGGCCAGTGAGTGTTTGAACACATCCTACAGTGGAGAGATGAAGGATGTCCCAGGTGAGAGAAAAAAGACAAAGGTGAGGCAGACTTCTGACTTCTTTAGTTTCAGGTTCTAACAAGGGCTTCTGTTTCAGATCCTGGTGCACGAGTGAAGGAGAAAAAAACCCATGTGTCTTGGTAATTAAACCAGCTATATTCAGTTTGAGTAAATGTTTCAAAGTTATATGTGTGTGAATCTGGCATGTCGGAACAGAGCCTGAAACTTTTATTTGTTTGAGGGTTTTTTTTCTTTTCTTTTCTTTTCTTTTCTTTTCTTTTCTTTTCTAGTGCCCTCTCCTTGCCGGTTGGATGTGGAGAGAAGAGTGTGGCTTTCTACAGAACTGAAGGACCATTTCTGCGCAGCGTCCGGCTCTCCATCTCTCCAGACAGAGTGCAGGTTGGGAAGACTTTTGTTGTGGAAGTTTCTGGAAAACTGGCAGGACGTCCCAACCAGCCCACAGGTCAGACTGTACTTACTTTTACACGGATGGGAACATGACTATCTGAACTTCTGCATGTGATGTTAATTATTTATGATACTGCAAACAGCTTTTTGTTTTTAATAAATCAATTTATTACTTGAGATGTGAACTAAATATGAGTTTAAAAACAGCACGTTGTGTGCCACATTGTAATTGCTGTTTCTGCTGTACATTCAGCATTTTGATTATGGTAACTTAAATTAAAAAATCAAGTAAAGAGGTGTGAGCCTTTTATTGAATAATTCTAATAAAATATGATAAAGCAAGTCATCGATCATATTGTTATTTCTTTAACATATATATAACATTACTATTGCACAAGAATCCTCCAACTCCAGACAAAACATATATGAAGACTTATTTTTGGAATATTTGTATGTCAACTTTAGGAGTTTCTTTTTTTATAAACAAAAAAATGCACTTGCTGAATTAAAAAAACAAATCAAGCAAAAAAAAAAAGGGATAGGTCTGCATGTCTTCATTTTAACTAAAGAAAAGCTGCACAAAGGTAACACACTGCTTATTTTTTTCTCAACAACTGCAGACATATTATTTCATGTGATTAAAAATAACGTTTTAAATAATAATGTCTTAATATTTTTCAAGATGCGTTCAGTTAATTATTTTAGATAGGGTAACCAACAAGAACTGCTCGACATCAGCTGCAAAAAGAAAGAAAGAATTATTTCTGAGATAATATTCAATCTGTTATGTGTTTGACAACATTTCCTGTGCTGGGTTGAGAGTTTTCAAATGGAAGAAAAATATTCACACATGGAGAAAATAAATCTCATGAGACTTGATCCATATTTACTGAATTTCAAAACGGTTGTAGAATAAATTACTGTTTTTTTAAATCACTGCATAAAAATGATTTCTTGTGTGTCTGTGTGTGGGTTTTTTTTCTTCCAGGGATTCCGGGAGTGGGAGGGACAGAGCTTTCTTTTGTCAACATTGAGTTTGAGAATCCGACCCCTAAAGGTCAAAGTCCACGCCATGTCAGAGTGTTCGATGACGGCTCCTTTTCTTGGTCAGCTGATTGGATTTTTGAAACTCCAGGAAAATATAAACTCAGTAGGTCAAAGGGAGAAAACAGTTTGTGTTATAGATAATAACCGTTTGACTAATAATGAAATAAATAGCAGGTTGTATTATTCTGTAGTAACACTCTGTCTCCCTTCTTCTTCTACTCTTTATCCTGTTTAGACATCAGTGTCTCCAACCTGCTCTCTCTCTCTCCTCCACCCTCCACCTCTCTGTCATGCAGCCGTCTCCACTCAGCTTAGTGATCTCACTACTACACGGACCCCTGGGTGTCCCCTCTCTACAGGCACACTCAAAAAATGGGACCGTGGAGGCAGTATATCAGGGCGACCCTGTCACACTGCAGGCACACCTGGTTGATGGTTTACCGGCAGAGTTTATTTGGTGTTTTATTCCAGAGGACAAAGAGGAAAACATGAGGTGTATAAAGACAGCTTCCAGCTCAGACTGTGTGAACAGCACTGTGGTGAGTATAACACTGCTAGGTCATAAAGAAAAATCTCAAATAAAATTATCCTGTATTTAAGGCTGAAATTCTCTTTTCTGTAACTCATGACCGAGCTAAATGAAGACACTTCACACAAATGTTTCACCAACAAGAGCTCATCTTTTACTTTTTAAAAGGACTTTTAAGCAATTCAGGGATGTTGAGGTCAACCTGATTATTTGGACAAGCACGTTTATGAATGCTTGATTACTATGAATATCAAAGAGATTAGCACCCTTTTAATATCATGGCCTCAAATATGGAGAAAATAATCAGGGCTGTTTGAAAATTAAAAATGTAGATAATGTTCTTTCACATTCATGATGTATTATGTAGACTGTATGTTGAATTAAGATTAGTCCAAATTTTTTATTGCTGATCAGTGGCGCTGATCGCCTAGCGGTTAGGTCGCGCCCCATGTACGGAGGCTCCAGTTAAGTGGGCGGCCCGGGTCCAAGTCTGATGTCTTGACCTCTCTCCTGATTTCCTACACTGTCCCATCAAATAAAGTCAAAAAGCTCCAAAGTAATATCTTAAAAAAATAAATAAATAAATGAAATAAAGGATGATCTTAAAAAGAAAACTCTGAAAACTGGGAGATTTTTGCTGTAACGGACCCAAACTCTCGTCCAATAGCAGGAGCAGATCTCAAAAATAAGATATGTGATACATATTTGCTCCGTTTGACTTACATTAAATTAATTAAGCATTTTTTTATTTAAGGTGTCAAAGGCCAGCAACCTGACTTTATCCAATCACTTACTGACAACAGGCAACTATTTAGTGAATAAATTACAAACATCTTCACAGCTTCCGTCTTGAGAGAGGTACACAAGCAAACCTAGATTTACACATTTCTTTGATTGCCTTAACAAAACACTAAAATGGGCCACACCCTAGTTATTTTTTGAAGGAACAGAGCTATTGGTATGCTGGTTTATAGAGAGATGCACCAATCAGTTAATGTGCAAACCTTGCATCCCCTTGGGACTGATGTGGTTAAAGAGAGAAATGCTGTTATATTGCCGAGGAAAGTTGAATTTGGAGCTCCTCAAGAGAGATTATTTTTTCATAAATCATTTTGAAGGAAAAGCCTCAAGAAATTCAAATGAGGAAATGTTAAGAATTGATGAGGTCTCTGTAAGCATGCTGTTTGCAGTTCTTTGGTGGTGATTCTATCATTTGTTGATTTTAGTCAACACAAGAAGGAGTTTAAAAATAATGTCAAGGGTTATAGACAGTACTAGTTAAATAGCAGTAATATTTCATATCAATCAACTTTGTATCTTCCATAGCAGTGCGCTGTCATGTTTTTATTCTGATGAATTATATATCTAATACTAATATCTCCAGCTCTGGACCTTTGAGACAGAGGGAGTTCATGTGGTGTCAGCGAACGCCTCCAGTCCCATTGGATGGACACAGGAGACCGTACATGTCGTGAGTGCTCTGCTATAATTCAATGAACATGTCCTCCTTGTGTTTATAAATGATTTAAGACAATGCTTGTATGTATGTATGTATGTCTCTTATTGTAAACTAATCCTATGGAAAGGCCAAAACCATAAAAATATGTTTTTCAGTTCAGTCCAGCCACTGGATCCTGTTGTAGACATGGATCTTTTCAATATAATTTTCTTTTAAAATAGGCCTTAGTACTTTGTTGAAAAAAAACAAAACTCTGGAGTATTTTAAAGTGTGCTGATTGCTGATATTTTGTCAGAACCACAGACATTCAATCGGTTATTTTATATTGAAAATGTCAGAAATGTGGAAATTTATTCTCATTAATCAAGCTGAGCAACATCCAACATGTTGCTGCAATTGCAGCCTTTGTTTCACTTTTTTTTTAAAGTACAGGGCCTTGTTTTTTCTTTTCGCCTGTGCCTCGATTATTTCTTTAAATTGCTGGGCACTGTAGATCTTGTAGTGAATGTGGAGTTTTTTCTGCAGTGGATTAATACACCTTCGTTCAAACAAAAAGAGTTTATGGTAGAGGGCTCAGTTCAGTTCAGACAGAAGGATGGTGTATGGGATTTTGTTCAAATTAAAATAGAAATACCTTGTGGGGCTGTTTGACAGAAGAATACGTTTTTTTTGCAGCAGGGGAATCAAGTAACTGTTGTTTTAGGTCTTTTTGTAGGATGTCTCAACATTACAAAGATCATTACAAATATAAGTATTACCAGGCCAATGTTTGTGTATTCATCTGCATGTATAACATGTATTGTGTGTGTGTGTGTGTGTACGTACTTGTAGGTGGTCGTGTGTCCCGCTGCCTCTGACCTAAGAGGGAATGTATCGGCAAATCAGCCGACTTCAGGAGAGGGCCTTTATGTGGGTGTGGCTTACAAGAACAAAAGCATAACGGTCCACGTTGAGGGGAGCAGGAAGTCGTCACTACCAGTTAGAGTTAATCCAACATGGCAACCACCCGCCAGTCAGAGTCCTGCTCCCAGCCCGGCACATAATGGTGAGGAAGCATTTAAAACTAACACTCACTGAGAAGGGCTATACATCTGAAAGTTACTTTAACATGTTGAAAAAGGAGTTTGGCTTTATTTTCCGTGTTAACTTGAGGCACTTGTTGTAGAGTTTTATATTTGATCAATTTCTAATAATTTTCATTTTTGATAATGACAAACTTCTTAAATAAAAACTTTTTTGCATGCAGATATAGTTCATTCAGGGCCTCGTGCCATGAGATTTTTCTAAAGCCTATCAATAGAAAGTTATTCAACACAGTTTAAGATAACAGAAGCCAAAATGTGTATCTTACCTCTCTATTATGAATTAATAATGACTTTTGTATTAATATAATGACGATACGATGTCTGTGTTTTTTCCTTACAGTCCAGATATATATAGAAAATCAAGCTTATCCAACAAATGCAGACATAACTCTCCTGGCAGTGGCTCAAGTACCAGACCCTGTGGAGTTCCTCTGGGACTTTGGAGACTCGAGATCAGTCAGAACCACCTCAAGGACTGTCGCTAAAAGATATCAAAAACCTGGACGGTATGAGACACAGATAAAGTATTTAAAGCACTATTTGGATTGTTCCTTAATTTCATAAAATGACTTCAAAAGCAGCAATAAATGGAGACAAAGTATATAGAATTATTATTATATTATTATAATTAGAAAATATTATATTTGCTAGTAATAAGAGTATTATGTATTTTCTTACGCCTCCCATTTGAATCCCCCTCTCTACAATATAGGTATGATGTTATTGTAGTCATGACTAGCAGCCAGACCTCTGTTACCTCCGATGTGTTCTCGCTGGTCATCCAGAGAGCGGTAAGGCTCAACAGGCTGCTCCACCCAGCTTCTGTCCTGCAGAACCAAACAGTTACGTTGGGTTGTCGGGTCAACACTGGGTCTGATCCCACCTTCCTGTGGAGCTTTGGAGACGGATCATCCAAGACGGGACAGAGCACAGAACAGCACGTCTACCACAGGTGAGTTCACCATCAGTACAGATTTAAAATGAGCTTTGTTGTAGATTTAGGTACTTATAATGTATATTTATGTAAAGGTTGGTCAATATGTCACCAGAAAAAAAAAAAATATTTAAGTTACTTGGATTGTTAGCAAAGACCTCTGGGAAATGTAACTTTGAAGCTCCTGTGAGGACCTTTCTGTTTTGTCTATTTTTGCACACCCTGTGGATTTAATGAACAAACTCCTTATAGGAGCTTTAAAATGCAAACATTTGTCTCATTAAATACCCTGATCACAAATTAAAGCATCCTTATTAAAGTGTGTTTTTTTTACATTTTTGCATTGTACTGAAATGTTGAATAGATTTATTTATATCTACTGAGGGAATAGTGCCAGTTTAATAAATGTAATGTAAAGAAATGTAACTCATATATGTGTTTCTGTCTTTAAAGCTCCTGTGAGTATTTTTTAAAATGTTTATGAAACTGACTGAAATGAATAGTGAGGCCTCTTTATGAGCTACAAAATCAAACAAGGCCTTTAGAAATAACATTGATTAGATCCATATTGTTGATTTTAATAACTGAAACCGCTGCAGCACTCCACCAAAACTTAATTTTATTGTTTTTTTTTTTTTTACATTGTCCTAGGTGAAGATTCTAAATATGTTTGTACTCACAAGAAAGCAGGATGAAACTTTCTGTTTAACAACAATACTTACAAATACAGGATAAAATCAGCAAAGATATAAATGTTCTGATTGGTCCACAGGGGGCACCAAGTCAACAGAAACCGAAAGTCCCTCACAGGAGCTTTGAATAAATATTTCATATATCATTTTTTTAAAATCTTCTATCAAGATTGGTACTGACCTTGAAATTTCAATAATGTTGGATTATTTGTTATGGCGCAACTTCACACTGAAGTTTACAAAGAGGTACTTTTCACATCGTCTTCATTTTGCTTAAAACTTTAATTAGCATTTTTGCCTGTCTGCATTTTTACTCTCTGCAGGACAGGAGAGTTCACAGTGACTGTCACTGTATCTAATCTGGTCAGCTCTGCCCTTTAAGTAGTCACATCTTCGTTGTGGACCGGCCTTGTCAGCCCCCCCCTGTTAAAAACATGGGTCCTCTCAAACTACAGGTACCTTGTTCCATCAAGTATAACTGAAAATACATGTTAGATTCCCACCGTCACCGTCTTCTCTCATCTTTTCTTTTCTCTTCAAGGTTCCAAGATACGAGACAATCCGTCTTGGGGTGACCTATGAGACTGAAGTGGACTGTGACATTTCAGGCGGCCTTCACTACACGTGGACATTGTTTGACTCTGCAGGACGCATCTTGTCTTTGCGTCTTGTTGACACAAACAGACAGAGCCTTATTCTGCCAAGACATCTCCTGCATTATGACACCTACACTGCTATAGCCAGGGTGAGATGACACAAAAATATCATAGACCTTTAAACTGGGACCTGGAACTCTTTAAAATATGAATGTCCTAGTTGTGTATTTACAGACATTAGTTGTCATTACCCTGCAGGTTCAAGTCATTGGCAGTGTGGTTTACAGTAACTACAGTGTGAGAGTGCAGGTGATACCAAGCCCTCCCGTAGCCTTCATCCAGGGTGGCACAAACATCTACATTAACAACAGACACACTGAGGTGGTAACCCTGGACGGGCAGAGATCTTCTGACCCAGACTTCCCCATGAACTCCATCAGGTACAGGAACACTTTTAATGGCTCTTGTGCTTATTTTCAACAAATTTGAAACATTTTACTCAAATGTCCGTTCACTCTTCTGATTTTTTTTCTCCACAGCTTCAGCTGGAAATGTAGACCCGTCAGCTCCATCGCCGGCTCCTGTTTCCACCAAGACGTTCCCACTTCATCCCCCGTGCTCTCATTTCCGGCTAGTTTCCTAAAAAAAAACTTTGACCAGTTTCAGTTCACGCTCACCGTCCACAGCGGTGAGCGCTCAGCTTCATCAGAGAGCTTTGTCACAGTAACACCCGGTGTGATCAGGTAAGAGCTACTAAATCTTAAGATTGTCTGGGTGTGCATTAGGAAGTAAATTAACCTTTTAAATGCTCCATGACCAGATATTTCAAACAGCTTTCTTGTTCAACATATTTACTGAAAAACAAAGATTAAATGCAATACTTTGAGTTGAATTATATTTCTGTCTAAGATTGGGCAGTACATTAAAGGACCTTGTGACTCTTAATAATCCTATGTGCCAATAGCCAATATTTTAATTTAAAAATACAGCGCTCTAAACACGTTTCTCTTGCAATTGGAATCAGCATGTCACTGTTTCATGACTCTACATGGTGGCACTTGTGACATGGTTTAGAGAAACATGAAGGTAAGAAGTTGAAGAAGAAGTTAAAAGGGGAATGAAAGAAGATGACAGCAGGATATTGTCAGACTTCGTTTAAAAAGAAGTTACAGCATGAAGCATGATACTGACACCAAATTGCAGTGAATAATACATTAATCCTACACTTGACCTTTTTAGTGATCCTTGTTTCATAAGCAGGTGCAGTTGAATGATGAGCGGCAATATACTTCTATTTTGGGTCACACCAAATTGTATCAGGGCGTGTCTTGTCGCACTGTATTATACCGTGAGTTACCCTGCATTTCAATCCTTACTCTTAATATATATATGAATGTTTCCAATCTAGGAAGGTGTCAGTTTACTGCCTCCAGTGCCAAGAAGATCAGCTGAACTGGGATCAGTCATTCTCTGTCAGCGCCGAGTGTGAGGGCTGTGATATGTCCTCAGAATCAGTGCAGTACAGCTGGAGTCTGTTCTTAGTCAAAGCATCCTCCAAGCCGGTCATAGAAGGTAAAAAAAAAAAGATATATGCACCTGGGAATACATTTATTTCCATCTAATAATTTGCAAGTAAAATCTATGAACTGAATTCCTCCTCTTGTGTTCCTATTCTAGTCCCATTTTGCTACACATTGGATCTCAGTGCTCCGTCAACAATCTTGGAGGGTTCTGCAACTTCCCCTCAGTCTCCTGCGACTTCCACCCTGTCTCCACCTGTTAAAGATGCTCTACAGGTCACAATGGCTGTCAATGTATCTAAAACAAGAGCCAGAAAGAGAAATCGGAACCTGGCTGACAGCTCAGTATTATTGAAAAATAACAGAAAGAAATCAAGTAAGCAGTAAAACAGCAGGGCTGGTACTTCATACGCCATGTGAAACAGATGAATTGGATTGTTTTTTTGCACTGAAATTGAAAAAAAAAAAAAACAGCCTACCAGTAAACTTCTCATTTCTTCCTCACACAGGTTTGACAAAAACTGAGCTTCTCTCCTCTGTAGTCAACCTAGAAACAGCAGGCTCGGGTAAGCTTGGGAAGCTGTGTGATTTTCAATGGTGCTGCTACCGTTTGAAGTTTAAAGTGGAGGTGGTATAATTTGTCAACTGTAGTGAAGAAGACTTTGAAAATGTAACACATACATGCATACATGCTTACAATTAAAAATAAAAAAAAAAGCCTAAAAGCATTTTCAGCATGCACATCATTATGGAAAATCAACAAGAAATAATGGTGTGCAAGGTTAAAGTTACAGTCAAAAGGACAGTTTATGAATAATTTAACAGCTTTTCCTCTTTATGTCCAGGAGAGGAGCCCTTTTATCGCCCTCAGGGGGAGTTTGACCCTCCAGAGCCTTTGTACTCCTCCACTGAATACCAGACTCTTGCCCTTGACAACAGCAGCGTCCTATATCCAGACCACTTTGGACTGAGTGACGTTATCAGTGAAATGCAAATAGATTCGGACTCCTCTGCTGACTGGGAGCTTTCTTTTCCTGTCCTGGAGAGTGATGACTTGGAAGGCCAAATAGGTGAGACAAAACTGGTCCCTCTGCTCTGGCAGTCCCAGAAATGTGGTCTTTTAATGACACATTAAAAGGCCAGCACACCTCCATGTGATATTTCATAAGTCATTCTGGGTAACTAGACCAAAGCCAGCTAAGAAACTCTATTAACCAATAAAAGCAATAAGGGTGTGGCTTTTCCCAGGCTAACAACTGTAACAAAGTTAACAAGCGCTGAAGGAGCTGTCAATCAAGGACAATCAGTACATGGCCATGATCCTGAGAAGATTTCTAATTAGGGCACAATTAAAAAACACCTGTGTGCTTTAAGTGTGTTTAGGGTCTTTAAACCAGCTTTTATTGATGATTTGTCCACTTGGGGGCTTTGCTGTACTCAGTGTTGTGTTTTTAAAGTGTTCTTTAATGTAATGTAATATTTGTGCCTTGTCAAAGGAGAATTTCGGTCTCTATCTATCTATCTATCTTAGCTAACAGTGCGCCTCTAGCAGATAGGGGGCAGCATTAGCTTCATTTTGAGTCATTCCTCCTGTCACCTGATGAAGTCACTGACTTTTTAATCTCAACCAACTCCTGTTGTTAATATTTTGCAGTTTCCTAAGTCTGCTAAATTTGCTAAATTATTAAGCTAGTTACGTTGTTTATTTGGCCGTTTGATGCCGCTAGCAATGAAGTAAGCTTATGAGAGCTTTTTGTTCTGGAAGAAAGCTGCCTGCTGTGTCTAAAAAAATAAAGCTACATATTAGCTTGATAGCTAAAGTGAAGTAAAATTATTTAATTACACGTATTACATTAAACATTAGTCATATTATCCACTGTTTGATATTCATAGAAGTCAAAGTGGAGATTGTTTTCTAACCTGCAAATTCCCAAGAGAAAACTTTCAGAAACAGCAACCGAAAACCACCCAGTTATAACACATGATCATAACACATATAACATCTGGTGCAGTTATTCAGAATGTAACTACAACATATTAACACAGCTGATCCTTTTACAGATTCAGATTATGACCTTCTCTTCAGGATCCCAGAGGAAGGAGAGCCAGGGATTTCAGCAGGTCGACCTACAGGTACAGTAACCTTCGAGTCTTTGTTTGCACAGAATCTCCTCAGTGTGAGGTCGTGTTTTGACCCATGTTTGTGTGTATCAGGTGCAGCTGGTGAGACCTTCAGTCTAGGAGATGATTCAGTGTTTGATCCAGCATTGCATGAAGATGAAGGAAAGTAATCTGGTCGATGACAGGCCGCTGGTCGCAGTCCACGAACCAACCTTACTGGATCTACCTCGAGATGCAGTGGACAGGAGTGTTTTTGAGTCCTACACTTACACAGGTTCATAATTTACTAAATACAATGAGACACATTTTCTTCCTTCTTTACGTCTCCCAACCCTGCAAAATGAGTTTCTCTTTCCATTTCCAGGAATTTCCTCTCCTCTGCTCAGCTTCAGGCCGTTCAGCCTGAGACCTGGCAGCAGATACATGTTGGAGGTCACTGCCAGTAAGTCTTTCATCATGCATTAGAGACAGTCTTGAGGACTTTTTTTTTCACACAAAAGAAGCTTATATTACCGACTTGTTGAGGCTAAAAGTTATTTTAATGTGGAAAGCAATCATCATGGAAATCTTGATCTTGATCTTGAGTTATGTTTGTAAATGTTTCTTAACAAAATGTAGAAATTCAAATTGATCGTATTGTCTGGTAATATTGATGCAGGATAGATTGGATGGATAACTGGATGCTAATCGGATTGTTGCATGTTGTACTCAGAGTCTCATGACAGTTATCTGGGCCGGACTCAGCTGTTCCTAAAAACCAACCCTGCTCCAAAAGGCATGACGTGTCAGGTGCAGCCAATCAGAGGAATAGAGCTCTTTACACACTTCAGCATCTTCTGCACCTCGGGGAGAGAGGTATCTTCTGTCTCATACAGCTAAAAAAAATATATATATGAAGATTAAAGGGAGCAAGCTCTGAAAATCACAACTTATTCCACCTTGAATGTTGGACCAAATTACTTTTATCAATTTTCTTTAAGAAACATTTGCAAGTATTCTTCTGGTATAGGAAAAGGGCACATTTTCTCTTATTCGATGGAAGAGTTGGTTATATCTTTGTACACTCTTAAGGATAACTACTGGTATGTTCTCTACTTGGAGAGTTTAAGTTTTTATAAACTTCAATACTTGCTCTAAAATGTGTTTATGTACCATGTGATTTAAAAAAAAATTATTTCTCTCTGCCATATTTTCACAGAAACACACACCATGCACTGTACAAACATACACATTTTTTTGGACGATAAAGAGAATTTTACACTTTGCAAATGAGCACATTGTGTGTGTTCTGTGTATGTTTACCCTCACATGTTTTTATTTGTTGTGTCTGCTAAAGGATTTGGTGTACGAGTACAGCTTCAGTGTAGGAGACAGACCTCCCAGGATGCTGTATGTGGGCAGAGACTTCCAGTACTACTTCAGCCTTCCTGCTGGTGACCCTGATGATGGCTTTAAAGGTGAATACATACACATACACAGAGAGGCATCACAAGGTCGCATCAAGATGACATCTAGTCATAGCAGAAATTTCCTTTGATTACCCTGCTGAAAGTTCTTTCGTTCCTGCAGTAACTATTTACACCGTGATCAGAAGCAGCATCGGTGGGGCGGCTACTAAACCCTGTCCTGTAGGCGTCCGAGTCCAGCCAAGATTCTTCAGAGACAACTCTTCCTCTTTTCATCTTGATCCTGATCTGGAGCTGTAAGAATCACCATGGCCTCACATCATATCAGGATTGTAGTCATGCATATGTTGCAGCTTTTTGTCAGAGGTTTACTCCATATAACACTGTTCAATGTCAGTTTGCAGAAAATGATGGATAATTGCAGACCGTTGCATACTTTAGGTGCTAGCTACAAACATAAATTTAGTCACTAGATAATAAGACTGTTTATGGAGTTTGTAAAACTTTGTTGCTCATCAATATTCATTTTAATTACCCAATACAAATCTAAGAGGATATTTTGTTGTTGCTAAAAGAAAAAAAGGACATTCATGAACGCTTCATACATCCTTCGTTTGTCAACTCTTGTGTTAGAATCATGTGTAAAGTTCTGCATTTTAATGAGTTATTGTCTTCATATTTTAGAGTACATGGTTGTGCAATCAGTGTCTCTTTCTCTTTAGTTCAGAGGCAGGTCTCAGGAATTTATCAGCTTTGATGCAGCTTGGGAACACTTTAGAGATTCGCAACTACGTCAGCCTCCTCACCGGCATCCTGAACAGACTCAGCCGGGACACTGAGGCAAACACACACATGCAGAGACGCACACGCAATGTGCTTATCTGCACATTGTGTGAGCTAGAGAGCAGTGAAGAGGTACACACACACACACACACACACACACACACACACACACAGTCTTTATTACAATGAATCCCTTGAGTTATTTTGATACTCTGATCCTGCCGCTCAGAGTTACATTGAACATTTGTTCCATTTTGTACTGCATTTTCATAACCCTGAATTTCAATCCTAGGCGTCGATGGTAGACAGCATCTGCATTCTTAAAAATCTTCTGCATGTGACACATCAGGTAAGTGAAACGTCGTCTCTTTTAGTGGACTTTCACTGATGTAGAAACACAGATGAACGGTGTTTCTCATTCTTGCTTTGTTCTGTTAAGGTCTCATTAGCAAGTGCAAGGAGAGTGACGGCTCATGTTCAGGACATCTCGGAGCGGTTATCGCAGTCCAGAGCTCCAGGTGGGTACCATTTGAACCAAGAGACACTCAACACCCTGGTGACCGTGCTTTCATACAGCCTCCAAGCTGCTGTTAACAGTAATGACCTCTCGTCAGAAAAGTTCAACAGTGGTGACACTAAACAGGCTTTAGGATCGGACTCGCGCAATGAATACATTAGAAATGGCCTGTCTGATGGCTGCATACCCGGCTCATCCCCTGGTGTTTACATAGAAACACTTGGATCCATTTCAACAAAGCAGATGATACAAGTTGTAGATGAGATTCTGCACACTGCTACAGACCTGGTGCTGGTAAGAAAAAAAGAACCATTCCCCTCTGCATGCCTACTCATCAACCAACATGTTTTCATATGCATTCCTCCTTTTATCGCCATTATTCTGTCCTTTTCTAGAGGAACATCTTGTTTAACGAGGCCGAGGAGGTCAGAGTCAGCTCCACTTTTATCGACTTACACGGCAGACACCAAAACCAAACCTCCACAGTGGTCAGCATTGGTTCGAGCACCTTCTACCTGCCACCCTCCCTCATCCAGCTCCTGTTTGGTCATAGTAGAGAGACTCAGAGGCCATGTGTGCTCAGCTTGCTGACCAAGTTCAGCCACAGCCCTTACACCTGGGCTCACCACCCTGGAAAGGTTAGACTGCTGTGACATGAGTCGAAATTAAACGTTGAAGGCATTGCTCTAATTTTCCTTTGCTGATTTTCAGCTGAGTGGACCAGTGATGGAGCTGAGCCTATACAAGTGCAGCACAAAGAGAAAGATTCCTGTTCACTCCCTTATTCAGCCGATAATCATCGAGTTGC